AGGCGGAGTCTAGTAGCGGGCCTCCTGGCGCCTCCACAGGTGATGTCCCCTAGCCCAGGTTAACTGTGATCTGTCGACTGAGCAGTTGCGCACCCTGCGGTAGCAGCTCCTTTAAGCGTGGCTTGACAGTGATCAGGTAAATCGTTAAGCTGTAAGCGCCCTAGCAAATGTCGCCGAAGCGGCAGTATTCCTTCTCGTGTCCATTCAACGCACCATGCTGAGCTCATTTTGCCACGCTAAGATGCAGTACTTCTAAGGTCACCAGCCGGCGGGAGAATTTCGAACGGATGGTCCAACTGCGATAATCTCCTTCCCCCCCTCAACTGAAGCGACGGTCACTGCCCTGAGGTTCGATTCCGCGCAAATTGGGCCCTCCACGTCACATCAGCTCGTGTTGAATGGAAGAAAGGAAAGAAAAGTTGATCCAGCACACAGGATTCCTCAGTATAAGCGCCCAAATTCCAGCACAAAACGCCTGAAATGGTGGAGTTGGGAGGTTGCAACTGTCCAAATTGCTAGGTTCTCCCCAGACCTCGGGATCGCACTGCCATGGATCCCTCGCAATTGGGTTACAACGGTTCCCAAGTCTATGCCAACTCGGAGACCGGTCATTTATTTGAAGTCTGGTTAGTGTGGAACCGTGACGGAGTCCTTTCTGAAACGTCCAGACGACCTGATTATCCCGGCCATCCGGTATGTACATGCCACGCTTCTGTATCTCTGACAGTATCTTGATGTTAAGACACATTGTGTGCGTACGGAGAAATTGTATATGCAGCGTCGGTTTGCTTCCCTTTAAACATATTCACGCGCAAATCTGCCAGGCTCACCTTGGCTGCCACTTTGATGGCAATTCAACGAACCCGTAGATTCTGATCTAAGACATTTCAACTTCTACAATTAGCCACTGGGTTCTTGGGGGTTGTCCTTGGTACCGCTGTCATCATGCCTGATCTCATCAGCTTAAGCTTCTTCGCTCCTAAATAGCAGATCTGGACAGCTCGATCCATTCTCGTCTCCAGCGAAGAAGACTGAATGCCGAACAAGTTTCATGTCTTGACGAACTTTGTCCAGTTCGGTTCATAGATTGACCTCCTCTCCGACGCTTCCAGACAAGCAACGGTGCCGGATCGAGGACGGCAACAGTGAGATCGTCAGGCGGACGACAAAGAACATGCCTAAACCACATCTTAAATAGCCTGCTCTACCCTCGCGATGTTGCCACGGTGTGCGTGGTGGTCCTCGGGCA